CATGTGTTTGTTCCTTCTTTCTTTTAACGAGACACAAATGTAAACATTGCTGCAACACATGGAATGATATTTAACGAGACATAAATTTTACTGAATCCCTCTCCACAGCAGCTCAGTGAAAACAATGGCCAGCAAGTAAACACCTCTGATCGGCACAAGTCTTCTATTGCCTTGTTGATCAAATGGTTCAAACACTAGCAGCAAATTTCGCAACACCATGTCCCTTGATAAAACTAAATAACCCATCATGTTATGACAGCACTCAAGACATTCAACCAAGTACAAGAAAACAAAAGCATAACTCCAATTAGCTACATTACATAAGTGCCATCGAGTCGTTCCATATCATAAAAACAAAAACCAGAAATTCTAATGAAACATATAATTGTCGATTAGCATTTCTTACATTTAAGAAGCATGGTCTTCACAACAACACACATTTTAAATATGACAGTCTTCTGGGATATAAAGTCATGACATCTGACAGTAGACGGCATTGATGCATCACCAAACACAACGATAACTGGTATGCAACTGGGTAAGTTCACCATTGTACATGACCTTCACAACCTGCCCTTTCTCGAGGCCATAGTAACGAGCAATTGCATCATTTTGCAGCATCCGCGGAAGCTGAAAAGGTCATTATTGAGATTTAATTAGAAATCAGCTTGTTAAGATACTTTTGATAAGCAAACTCCATACACTATATATATATATATATTGTTAGCCTCTTCTAAGTTCAATCATCCTTTCCCCATGAGCGTCGTTTATGAACAGCCATATTCAAACATATACCATTGGATGTTTCTGTAATCAATTTTTAAAACCAACAACGGAAGTTCATCTTTCATGGTTGAGTCCATTCTCTAATTCTTTCTTTGTAGATAAGAAAACTGAAAAGAAAACTTGAACCAAAACAAGTAAACCACCTGTCTCAACCCAGTAACCTTGACGTACTCAAGGTCAAATACACATGGCTTGATGCTAACAAGAAGTTCATTCTCCTCCTAACCATAGTGCACACACACAATGATATTTGTTTCTATGAATTTATATGTCTAAAGATGTCAATGGGTAATAAGTTCTGTCAAATACCCTTTCTATTACATTCAAAACTTCATATGATGCAAGAATCAACAAGGTACCACCAATATAATAGAAGCTAATAACCAATTGTTTCCATAGCAAAAAATGCAGGCAACATAATACAAGCTAATAACCAGTTAGTGCAAAACACAAAAGCACCAACACCACATCATACTCCTTGTCAATCCTCCTTGTCAATTGAAGTGCATACAATTACCAAAAAAATGGAAAAGAATTCTAACAAATCTAAGAAAGTACCTCAAGCACTTTGATGCACCAAACCCACTGTTATTGCCTTCTTCTTGGACCTCCTCAATTTCAATAGCACCAACCCCACAGTTTGTGGGCTCACTTAACAACAATGCTTCAACCTTATTATCAATTACTGCCAGTTATAAATGAGGAAATCACCACTTAAATTAATCACAAACTTCATCAATACACTTCTCCAATGACCAAAGAGTTCTAGGTAACCATACGCTTAAAAAGAATTTAAGGTCAAAAATAATTTCACAAACCTCACGGACTGCTCCAACAAGCGCAGGCGATTCCGGACGAAATTGAGGCGACCCATGGTAGAACTAGATGCACCTGGTTGAGAGAAATGTTGTGGTGGTGCTCCACGATCGAGAGGGTGGCCGGATGTGGAAGTAACTTGAGAGAAACAGGGACTGTACTCGCTATTTTAGATGGGAATTGGAGCTGTTTTCGGCGGACTGTGGGCAGGCGATGGTTCGAGGTTGTAGAGGGAGGTGAGGGGGTGCAGGTGGTGTGGAGGTCCAGCGACTTAGGTGGCAGGCTGTGGAAGTATTGATGGAAGATCTGGAGCTCAAGAGGAAGAAGTTTGGGGAATTAGAAAATGAGGTTGTTTCCCGTGTTTTCATTGAGTCTCCCATTTGTAAAGAAAACGCTCAAAACAGCTGAAAAGCCGTTTTGAGTCTTCAAGCAAAAAAATAAATTTTTGTTTTCAAAAATTCGTTTTTGAAAACGAGAAAGAGAACGCGTTTTCACTGTTTTGAAAAATAGAAAACAGAAAACGGTCCCAAAACAGTAAAGAGAACGGGGCCTAAGGGGCTGTTCTCTTCGTATTTCAATTTTGAGTTTTGAATTCATTTTGTATTTTATGTTTTGAGTGTCTGTTTTGAAATTCCTGAAAACGCGTTCTTTTTGTCATTCTTAAAAACTGTTTCTGAAAACATAAAAATAGAAAACGAGTTTACTTTGACATTTTGAGAATATTTTTTTATAATATTTTATTCAAGAAATCTGATTATTCAATAAATTATAACAGTTTAATGTTAATATAGTGTTAAATAACATATACATTTTGAAATCGAAAAATCTTAAAATATTTTTTTCCAGATATAAAAAACACATCCCAAATTAAATTTGGCAAAATAGTTCAATCGATACAATTAGAAGTTTAGTGTAACGACAAAACAAGTAGATACTACACAAAATATAAAATAAATCCACGGAGTTATGTACGACGTCTTGAGTAGTCATCCTACATGTGTGCAACAATTTGATCCCTGACTTGTCATATTTGAGTTGTTTGACTAGCATCAAAATGTATGACTTCTTGATCTTGACCTGATTCCGATATATCTTGAAAAACTATATTCTCCTCTGAATACTCAGCGAACAACCTATCTAAAGTGTGCTCCTGACGAATAAAGTTGTGTATTGCGCAACATGCAGTAGGGATTTGTCTTTGCCTACTAAGTGGATAATTGGTAATTAATTTCAAAATAGGAAATCTTGCCTTTAAAACTTCAATGCAACGTTCAATAATGTTACGGTACGAGGAGTGTTTATAGTTGAATAATTCTTCCTTCCCACGTAGTCTTCTTCTTCCAACATAGTCACGCAGATGATATCTTTGACCTTGACAAGGGGAAAGAAATCCCGGCATGTTTGGGTAGCCAGAATCAACAAGGTAAAATTGATCTGCAAAAAATAGTAATAATAATAAGACTCACATATTGTAACACTGTAGATACATTCACAATAATTATTTGAAGTACAATAATATACCTCCCCGTGGCATTGGAAAGTTGTTCGATCTTCTTGTGACTGTGTCAATGAATACTCGCGAATCATTAGCAGTGTCTTCCCAACTAGAATACACAAACATGAATTTCATATCGAAATCACTTGTCAACATCACATTTTGTGTTACATTAAACATTAGTTTTCCTTCCACGAAAAGATATTTGCCTCGATGCAGATGTCCAAGCTGCAACATGTGTATCATCTATTGCGCAGATACAATCGTTAAAGAAAGGATATTTGTGCAAAATCTATTCATGCACAATATCTTGATTTGTTGGACGGATTATCTCTGTGTCAAATGAACAAACAACCCTTATCATTCGTTTAAACTATGTGTATAGTGTCGTTGAAATGCTGAAACCAATCACCAATAATACTATATCGTGTAGTGTGCCCTATAATCATTATGAACATAACAACACTCTCTTCGACACTCACTTTTTTACCATCTTCCAACAGCCCTTTCTCTTTCAAAATATTACAAAAATTCATGAAAACTTGTTTCTGCATACCGAAATTACGATAGCACACGTCCGGATGTCTATTTAGAATTTTTAACATGTACATTTTTTCCGTGAACAATGATGTCCTACAAGGTATTCTGTCGATGGTACTTCCTTTGTAAACAACAATTATATTAAGCATCATTAAATCTTCAAAATTTGCCATGCCAACCACTAGTTTAAAGCTAACAATAGAACATATTTATTCCAAAGGCATTTCACAGTTGAATCTGCCTTAAATGAGGCTTTTATTCTTTGTGTGACATATTGGCTCAACATATTGGTGACAAAGTTTGTGTGACATATTGGCTCAACATCCTCCGAATCTGTAAATTGGTCGTTCCATTTAAATTTATATGAATATCAATCTTTTCTACATCAACTCAACTGCTCGAACTAAGGCTTCAGAATTACATAATGATCCCCTCATTTTCAAATCCTTTGGAATTTATGTTAGCAAAATTTGTCTAACTCTTTATAAATAACAATGGAAATCTTATTCATCTTTACTCACAAACCTGCAGTAGACAGATGACCTCTATTATCATCACTAGGCATCAGAATTCACCATTGGCATACTAGTAAAACTTTTGAAGTTCTTGATTTATAATACAAGACATATTTATCCTTCTCTACTGAAACACACATCATAAAAGTTCACAAAAATTATTCCATTGGATAAAGCACACAGAGAATAAAAACCTCATCTATCTGCCTTAAATTAGTATTTCGCAGAATATATTTATTCCTTTTTCTTGAATCTGCCTTAAATTATTTCAATTCTATTATACATTTCTAATCACTGAGATGCAAATTTCTTTTCTCTCAATTCCAATTTTTTAACTATAAGTGGAATTCGTTTCTTCGTGGTCATAACGAAACCAAATTAGCCCCTACCGTCTTTCCCATTTCCCCGTTTTAAAGTCACCAATATCACAATGACCATGTTTTGAACGGCCTTTAGTTTTTTATTGCAACTTCTGCATAATGGCATTTAGCAAAGAAATATAAATGGACAAAATTGGGTAAAATCCAACCAACGTAATCTCTAACGTTGGACTCAGGCAAGCACTCATTTGGCCGTGAACGAACAGAGACCAAGGCAATACTATACAAAAGCTGGGAATGTGATTTAGGGTGGGAATAGAGTTCAAAACTAGGTGGTCCACCTACGAAGAGTATGGCAGGAAGCGGTTGTATAAGTTCAAATAAGGACCTTTTGAAATCGGAGCGTCATACCTCTCTATTCGACAACATAAGCAATATACTCCACAATATTGATCAAATATTGAAGACAACTCACAGAAAAACAGGTTGGGCTTACCTGATTTTGAGGCTACGGGTAGGGAGCAGGATCAACAGGTCAAACCATAGTTTCGATAGGCAGATGAGGAGTGGCACCAATCTACGAGACGGCGGGAAATCGGAGGTGGACCGGTGTTGGAAAGCTCCTTATGGAGGTCGTGGGAGATGTGTATTTATAGAGGGCGTGAGAGATGTGGATTTAGGGTAGAAGAAATTGAAAACTAGAGGAAGTCGGGAGGGAGGGGGGATTAAGTGAAAACGACGTTTCCCTTGTTTTCAGAAATCACTGTGTTTTGCACTGAAAATGATCAAAACGTGGTTTTTGATGTTTTGAGTTTTCAACACAATTTTTTTTTTTGTTTTCCAAAATTCATTTTCAAAAATGAGAAGAAGAACACGTTTTCGGTGTTTTGAAAAATCGAAAATAGTCTGAAAACAACGAAGAAAACAGGGCCTAAGAGTCCGTTCTCTTTACCATTTTCAAGTAATTTTCTGTTTTTGATTTTTCAAATCAGTGAAAACGCATTCTCTTTTCTATTTTCGAAACGCGTTTTTGATAACAAGTTAATAATTTACAAAGAAAACTCAAAACGACAATTTGTCGCTTTTGGTGTTTTCAGTTATAATTAAGTCAAAATTTTTAAAAAGCGTTTTGGGTGTTTTAAAAATAATTTTTCGAAATGCAAAAAAGAACACATTTTCATTAATCTCAAAATGAACATTTAAAACACAAAACCCACGACTTCAAAACTCAAAACACAAAACAGAAACACAAAGAGAACAGCCCCTAAGAAATTGAATTCAATTTTTATTATTTTTTATGTATTCTTTCTTTTTATAAGTCATTGATCACATTAAAAAAATTCAATTTTAAAAACAGTAAGTGTGAAATTTACAAAAAAAAATGTCGTTTATCATTACATTTTACCTTATCGCTTATCAAACAAAGAGCCGTAGATCTAAATTCTAATTCATTTCTCTCATTTTCGCTTTTCGACACACTCACACTTCTACAACACAACTATCATTATATTTGTTGAGTGTCGGATGCTTATTTTTTATGCAGGTATATATTACTAACTTATGGATATGGTGATAAATTTTAATTTGTATTTATCATTTGAAATTTTAAATAGTGAAATCAAAACCAAATCAAACTAGAACCAAATGGTTCGATTCCTATTTGGTTCTATATCGTAAAAATAATAAAAAAAGAGTAATATTATTTATAGTCAGCTATTGCAGTAGTCATTCTATATGACAACTTGTTATTTGAGACAACAAAATTACAGTAAACTAATGTCTCGACTAACAAGTTAACACATAGGATAACTACTGCAATAGTTGATTATGAATATTATTATTAAAAAAAATCATTGATTTTTGTTTTGGTTTGATTCTTTTGGAATCGGAACATATCCATCAATAATTTGTATCATTGTATATAGCTAACTCTTAAGTCTTAACCCACCCATATGCGCGGGGAAAAAATATTGGGGAATTTATGTAATGGGCAATTTGATTCGATTGTAACAGAAATTAATTGAGAAATAGATGGTCAGGTTCAATTTCCATTCTTACGTCGAGTCAAAGAAACCTCAATTGAGAAATAAATTTTTTTTTTCTCTATCTTCTAATTAATAATATTTGTTCAATGAGTAAATACTAAAAACAATTAATTAAGATAATTATTTATATTCAGTTGTTATTATGTAGCTAAAAACAATTTATATTCATTTAAGGTCGAGGTAATTTTGCAACTTAAAAACTATTTAAGAATGAATGTTTAATTTTATCAATATCTATTATCGATGGTCGTTTTTTTCCGTGCGAAATCCCCATAGACAAGAACATATAAATATAACTTTGTGTAAAATGAAATTAAAAAAAAATATGTAAACTATGTAGTGAAAAGAATCGATCGGATTTTAGTTTGTGAGATGAATAAGAAAGAAAAATAATTAAATTCTTAGATGATAATGAAATAGTAATTCTTTTTTAGAGAATAAAAAATATTTAAAATTTCGGTATGCAAAGTATTACATAATATAATACAGAGTGCTCGACTTTTTATTTTCGATTATGAGTATTTTGATCTAACTATTTTCAATGACAATTTTGTAATTTTTTTTAGCAAAAGTTATTTTTTTATTATTATACCATAAAATGTAATGTGTATGTAATTTCGGTGTATAATACACCTTATACTAACCCTGAGGGGTTACTCAATTGGTCAGGCCTTGAGTTTGCTCCCCAATGATCACCAGTTCGAGCCCCCTCAGGGCCACTGAGGTGAGTATCCCGCCGTAAACTTCAGGGCCCCATGGAATTAGTCGAGGTGCGCGCAAATTGGTCAAGATATCCACGGATATCAAAAAAAAAAAAATAATAATAATACACCTTATACTAAGCCCCCTGTTTGTCTCCCATTTTTTAAAACTCATTTTTCATGAAATTCATTTACACTCACGCATTCTCTCAGTAAAATAATTTTGTAGGTAGACTCGTAATATTTTTTTATTTTTTTAATCACATATTCTGAAAAAAAAAAAATTCATTCTAAAAAACTCTTGGGTCCTTATTTGACTGAAATTAATTAGGTAGGAAGGCACCGATACCCACCTTTTTTTGTTCTACTTTTTGACCCAGTATTGGAAGTTGCCTTCGAATTGAATCCAATTAATTGTCAAAACACAAACAATACGAGGACTATGGATAGAGGGCAAGTGGGATAATGGCAACGTCCCTGAATTTAAGCAGTAAATTCAGTTCCTTAATCTGACTATTTGTACAAAGACAAAGAACTCTTCGGCCGAGTCAAGTCTAGCCTAAGTTCGATTTTAGTCACGACCAAGTTACTTTGATGGTTTATTTCATCTTTACGCTCTAATTTAGACTAGATAACAACAATATTAGTCCTCAAATTTTAGGCTTGGAATATGATCATCAAACCTTACCTCGAAGTCAACAATTAAGTGGCGCAATTCGCTCTCCTTTTTGTTACAAAATCAAAATTTAGGCATACCTTACGAGAATGTTCGATTTTTTACCCAATTTCTTTATATCTTTCAGGCCTACTGTAAAATGACTTTACTTTCATCAGTCGACCGTGCAGTATGGGGCTAATTAAATAAAACCGCCTTCAAATTCATCTAAGGAAAATCATCTCGTAATGGTCATTATTCACTAATCTACAAGTTATTATTTCATTGTTGACTTTTAATTTTTTATGCAAAAAGGCGAAAATTCTACACATGCAAACTTGCAAAACGTACGTTCCAAGGGTTTCTGAACTGGCTTTGGGATACTATACAAAAATAGCCATCTTCCTCCCTAGGTCTCTTCAGTCTTCTCCATATTCCAGTTAAACAACTTTTGACAATGAATATTCTTAAGCTTTTCAAACCTCATTCCTCTTCAGTTTATATTGTTCATTTTTTTCTGTTAATCGTAGGATTATCAATTGGTGTTGTATCTGCTTTATGTCTCAAAAGCTTCTCCTTCACCATTCCAGCCTTCCCATTCTGGTTTCCTCCTTCAATTTCAAAACTATCCTTGCCGCCGCAGCCGCAGCCACCAGCACGACCATTATCACCACCGCCGCCTGGTCCTCCGACACCCATCATGCATAATATGACCGACGAAGAGCTGTTGAAGAAATCATCAATGGTTCCACAAAGTCAAGAGTTGCTTGTTCCCAAAGTGGCGTTCATGTTCTTGACACCAGGGCCACTGCCTCTGGCTCCTTTATGGGACAAGTTTTTTCAAAGTCATGAAGGACTCTACTCCATTTACGTACACTCTCATCCTTCTTACAATGATTCAACGCCTGAAAATTCTGTTTTTTATGGCAGAAGAATCCCAAGCCAGGTTAGCTTACTTTTGAATATGGTTACTTAAACTTTTGAAGAATTCTGCTAATCTTTAACTTGATTCTTGATGCAGCCTGTGTATTGGGGAACGATATCAATGATCGATGCTGAAAGAAGGCTATTAGCTAATGCCCTGCTTGACGTCTCCAATCAAAGATTTGTATTACTTTCTGATTCATGCATTCCACTCTTCAACTTCACTACAATCTACAAGTACCTGACAGAAACAAACCTAAGCTTTCTAGGTTCATTCGACGATCCTAGAAAACCGGGTCGAGGTCGATACAACCGCCAAATGTGGCCAACGATTACCATCGAGCAGTGGCGGAAAGGCTCCCAATGGTTCGAGATCCATCGTGATCTCGCTGTTAAAATTGTATCTGACCAAAAATATTACCAAGTTTTTCATGAGCATTGCCTTCCACCTTGTTACAATGATGAGCATTATCTGCCAACTTTGGTGAACATTCTTTATCCGGAAATGAACTGGAATAGGAGTATAACATGGGTTGATTGGTCAAGGGGTGGACCTCATCCTAGGAAATTTGGATGGATTGACATAAAAGTTGAATTATTTGATCAAATTCGGTTTGGAACCGAATGTATGTATAATGGAAATACAACCAAAATATGTCACCTTTTTGCTAGGAAATTTCTACCCAACACATTAGAGCCATTGCTTAAGGTTGCTCCCTTGGTAATGGGATTTGCTCCTTGATTTTTTTGGGCAATATTTTTCAATTGTTTGGCCATCAATTGTATTATTTAATTTTTAATGATAATTTGTTCTTATTTGCAATAAATTTCTAAATCACCTTTTCAATACCCTTTTAAGAAAGATATTTTAGTCTTTTCTTGAGGGTAGTTTCAGAAAAATTGCATTAGCATACTTTGATGGAAAATTTTGTAATTATTATCAGTTAAGTTAATGTTTTTATAGGACGAAGCCGATAGCGGGTAGGGTCAAACTTAATGTAGATGGCTGTAGCTTCGAGAACCCTGGTCCATCTGATTGTAGGGGTGTTATTAGGGATGAGTTTGGGAAAGTTATGGCTGGTTTTACATCTCAATTAGGGGAGGCTACTAATACAGAAGCAGAGTTGAGGGCTATTATTGAAGGTTTGAAGGTATGCCAACAACTTGGGGCTTGTGTTGTTGAAATTGAATGTGATTCTCTAATTATTGTTAAGTGGCTAATAAACCGTAAGTGCACAGTCTGGTATTTGTGGGATTTTTGGGAAGAGCTATTGATTTTGATTCATCTTTTTGAGGTTCATTTAATGTATCAGTACACGGACGGCAATCAAGTGGCAGATACATTGGCAAAATTAGGTGCAAAAGGGCATACACAAAAGTTTTACTCACACATGGAGCTACCTAGAGTTGCTCATGGACTTGTCTGTTTGAATTGACTTGGAGTAGCTTATATTCGTAGTTGATTTATTTGTGTTATTTTGGCGGGTTGTTAGGCTTGGTTTGTTTGTTTTATTTGTTTTGCTCACTAGTCATGTTTAGCTTGTTTATCGTTAAACATTTTCTAATCGTTTGTTGTTTAGCAGATATAGTTTATTTTTGGTGTAATGTCAACGATCGAGTATGTAATCACAGTATTCCTCTGTTACAAGTGAGGTTCTATTAATAAGATTAAGCCACTACCTAAAAAAAAAAAAAGTTTATGTTTTTATAAATTTTAAATTTTGAGAAGATTTTCTAAAATAGGTCATGATACACAATTTTTTTCTGAAATAAGATAATAGTGGACTTATACATGAAAATGAATGTGATCGAAATTGGTGAATATACAAGAACAGAATGTGGTATATAGATTATTTCTTCCACCATATTTTTTCCTAGATTTCAACAATGTAGCTATTCTCTCTTCGTACTCATCTATACAACCATAAGCGAAAGAAAATGGGATTGTGGTTGGATTAACGTTGTTCATCTCTCTTCTTTTGTTGTGATATACAGATATATGAGTAACGATTTGATGTATATTGTGACCTCTAACATGTTTGTTCATGTGACTAACGAAATAAAATGCATATGCTAGACTTTTGTAACCTTCGTTAATTAATTCCCTCGTTATTTGTGTAAGTTTTATTTGTAGCCTCCATTGTTGGGATAGGGATGCGACATGTTTATCTTCTTTGTCTTCGTCGTCCCTCTAAAATTGTGACAAATACGTAATCAATAGGTTGACTTTGACATATGTCTCGTTCTCAACAGCGGTTAAAAATAAATTTCAGATAATTTACCTCAATTATCAAGAACTGTGTAAATATAAAATGAAAAAAATAAAATAAAAATAGATTTAACATTTTATTATTTATATAAATACCTTATTTTTGTGAGAAAATAAACTAAAAGGCATGGTTTTGTGACTATGGTCTAATTTTGTACATATTAATGTATAGACTTATTATGTGGAAGAGAGAGAAAGAAAAAAAAAGAGAGAGAAGGAAAGAAAAAGAAGGCAGTACTCTACTCTATTTGTGATTATAGAAATAACAGTAATTATTTAACATTTTAATGCTATTTATGTCAACTTTATTTCGAGTACAAACCTTAGGCCCATGTTTGTTTTTCATTATATATTTTGTGTGGCCTATAAAAATTTATTCTTATTAATTTATAACTAAAACCATTAGAATTAACTCCAAATCATACTTAAGCCCATGTTTGTTTTTCATTATGGGAGCTTAAGAATTAATTTTTTGATCGTTTATTTTCAAACAGTGGGCCCGCTTGTGAAACAAGAAGGTCAAAAGTTGCGGCCAAAAAATCTGTAACGGTCAGAAATTTCATTAAAATGAGGGAAACAATTGGAAACAAACGGGGAATAAATTGAGTATTATTTAAACTTGATAATGTTCCCAAACCATAAAGTTAATTAAAAATATAAAATTTAATTAATTTCTATGATTTTTGCTTTAAGCATCTATACTCGAGCGTAGATGTTTAATTTATGCTATGCAACGCTATAATTAAGATCAAATTTCATTATTTTTTTTTCATGTGGGATCTTAATTAATAGTGTTGCTTAGCTTATTTGATCGAATATTGCTATATGTAAACACTGCTTATTGATAAGAAAATAATGTGACATTAAGATGTATTTGATTGATTTGTTATATTAAATTTTACATTTAAAATGACAATTAAAATAATAAATTAATTAAATCATCTAAATATCACATCATCGCTAATGATAACCATCGACTATGAATAACATTATTTTATTTGATTAGAATATAAACGTTTTTTTGAGAGAACCTCGTAATAAATGAATTTAATCTTAATTTATTGCATGGTTAAGAGATCAAATTCCTCTCAAAAGGTTGAGTTGAGATTTGATGTCCATTTTTTTTTGTCCACCCAATTGCTAATGACACATCATGATATACCAATTTACAATTGAGTCGAATTAGACAATAAAAATGAACCGCATATCTCAACTCCAAAATGTTTGCGTTTGATTTCAACACTACCTATAGTTTGAAATCTTTGTTGGCATGAGTTCTCCTACCCACGATGGGTAGGTGAACAATTTGCCCACCGCTGATGTGGCTGTGCATTGAATTTTTTTTTGTCTTTTTCCCCTGTAGCCGCCCCCCACCTTTCCCTTTTACCCACCCCCAACACACCCACACCCACACCCACACCTTTATCACGTAAATAATGTTTTTTTTTTGTTTTTATCTCAATTTTTGAAATTATTATGGGGATGCTAAATTAAGTCAAAATATTACATTTTTAATATATATCGAAATGCTCAAAACCTAAATTTGCACATCTCTAACGACGTGCAAAAATGCCAACCAACGTTTCAAAATATATAAATAATTTGTCTTATTTTTATCTTAATTTTCAAGTTCATTATGGGATATCAAATGAAGTCGAAATATTGCATTTTTAATATTATATCGAAGTGCTCAAAAACTAGTTTCATCCATCCCTAACGGCTTGCGAAACGGCCAACTATAAAAAAATTTATGTCTCGTCGAAGTACAAACCTTGAAAATTGATTCATAAATAAGGAAAATCGTTTATATATTCTGGAATGGTCTAATTCGACGAGCGGTAACTTTTGTTACGATTAACCGTTTTGCAACCCGTTAGGGATGAGGGAAACTAGTTTTTTAGCACTTCGAAATGGTATTAAGAATTGAATATTTCAAATTCGTTTGACATCTCGTAATAATCCCAGTAATTGAAACAAAAATAAGGAAAATCGTTTATATATTTTGAAATGGCCTACTTCGACGAGTGGTAACTATTGTTACGGTTGGTCGTTTCGCACACCGTTAGGTATGGAAGAAACTATGTTGTGAGCATTTCGAAATTATATTAAGAATGCAATATTTCAACTTCGTTTGACACTCCCATAATAATCCCAAAAATAAAAACAAAAATAAGGAAATAATTTATTATATATAAAAGGGTGTCGTGGGTGGGGGTGGGGTGATAACTGGGGACGGGATGGGTGTATGAGGTGGGTGAAAAAGGAAGGAAAAGTTGGGGAAAACCATCATTACACCGCTGACGTGGAGGTACCGCCATGTCAGCGGTGGGCATATTGTTCTCCTGCCTATGGTGGGCCAAAGAACAGGCCCGATCAACATAATTACAGTAATATAAAATCTAAAAATAAAAATTTAGTGAATGAATTTGACTTTTATATCTAACCTCTTCATTCTCTGAACAAAAATCATTTAACCAAATTCGAGTAGTGAGATAATGAAAACGACAGGGCACTGCCATTAGATCTATCAACCAACGAGTTAATTAAATTATTCATCATCAACATTTGCATTCGATTACTACTTATTCATCCAAAAATAAAAGATTACTCACTGCTCACTCAATTTTTTTTTTTTAAAATTACCCTTCCATCACTCATTCCAATTTCTCCATCCAATTTGGCAAAAATGTCAACGGGTGCATGAAAATCCTAGGCAGCAAAAATTAAGTAATCATTTAATTTTGAGCGAGTAAGTAGTAAACAAAAACAAGTGTCGACAATTTTACCAACATTTGGCGTCCAAAGTCATCATCTGATTTTATTTAAAGTAATATTTTTCATCTATAGTGGGGATAAAAATACAATCTACGTGATTTTAAATGATAAGTTAAACAAAATGTGAAGTCAACTTATTTAATTTTACCTATATTGTGAGGGGCTGTACATAGATGTAGCATCTCTCTTAGAAAAACAAATAAACAAGCAAACAAATAAATATTGCGCACACAAGAATCTGAAGAAAGGGACCACAGAACTGACCCACACCGCGACACATGCACTTCTCACTCTGTGTCTCCCCGCCAGCACATCTAAATAAATACGTTTTTTTTCCATTTTACAAACCGGAATCTGCCAGAATCCTGACGTGCGATGGGGGATTATTTGCAGTTATTTGTGGAGGAGACGTCGTGGTACAACGATATTGTTCTGGGCTCACTCTTGCCGGAGAAATGGTGGGTCCCACTCCCTCACTTCTTCAGGGGATGGCTCCGAAACTTCATCGGAGGGACCTTGCTCTACTTGCTTTCTGGGGTTTTGTGGTGTTTTTATATCTACTACTTGAAGCGTAATGTCTATGTTCCAAAAGGTACGGGGCTTTCATAGTTTTAATGTTGGTTTTAAATTTGATCGTTTCCTACATCTCCATTGATGATGTTTATTTTTCATCTTTCCAGATTTGAACTTTTGACATGGGATTTCAATTTTTAGTTCAATGAAGTGGGTGCCTTTCTTTTTTGCTTAGGGTCTTTCACTCTTTGCGCATAATTTTTTTTTTTAAAGTTCTTTGTGTCCTTTTCTTTTCTAAATTTATGCCATTGTACAGTGGTTGTGAAGTAAGTGATTTCGTAATTGTGTTTTCCTGGGGCTAGCGAATTGGGTTTGTTGATTTGTCTGTCTATTTTGTGTTTGAATCTGATGGCTATGGTCACTTTGAATGTCTTTTTCAGCCAAATTAGTTTGTAAAAAAAAATTATTCTTTAACAGATATCTGATTGATGTAGTAATTTGATCTTTTTCATTTTTAGGGAATTTATGTTTTTCCAGAAATTTTCTATCTATAGAATTTATTTGAGGACGTTTGCTGGGGAGGACTGAATGGAGATTGAAATTGAAAAATGGTCACTCTTCAGTCTTTTCTCTAACGGACTATTAAACTTTCATTATCTAAAAATGCCATTTTTCTTTTTAATTAAACTCGTCATTGTAAGCAAAAGTTACACAGTTCGACCCTAACAATATCTAGACGGGGGTGAATAGGTATATTATGCGGAATTAAAATATTAATTAATTAGCAACATGTCACCAATTAATTATCTCTAGATGATTAAGCATACATGTCAATTTAACCTATGTTTAAATACCGCAGTCAATACAATCAATAATGAAAGCAGTAAGAACACACGGCATGATCACGGAAAAATCCCAACTGGGTAAAAACTTCGAGCACTTTGCTAGTCAACAATCCACTATAAATGATTTGTAACTTACAGTCTAGCAGCCTAGACGACAACACGTACTATCTGATCTCCTGACTGCAATTCCAACAGCTTTCCTGGATTTTGTGTTCCTGCACCACTCCCAGCAGCAGTTTTCAAAGCTCTCCTGGATTGTGCTCTCCTGCAGCAAGTTCCACTTTTGTGAAATCGTTTATCTCCGGTGGATCCACGAAGAACAACGCGTTCTTCAACGACTAGAACTTCTAGTCAACTTCCCTGGATCTTCAGCAACTCTGACAATTTGGTATTTGGATTACGAAATTGAATGGAATTTCAAGTCAACTTCCCTCAATCTTCAGCAACTCTTACTGATGTGATGGAAAGAACAGTTTGGTATTTGGAGTACAAAATCGATGTTTTTCTCACCAAAACAAACTCAAGAGATGAAGGTTGAAAGTAGGAATATAATGGTATTCTCTCTGATGAAGTTCTCTCAATGATTAACCTTGAAATTCACGTTAAGATGTGTTTTGGTATTTATAGATAGGTTAAAAAATAATGGGCCATGGAAAAAACCTTTAAATCCCGAAATAAAAATTTTTCGAACAACCGTGTGGCTCGAGCGAGAGCTCAGCGACGGGCTGTCGCTCGAGCTAAGGCATGGCGACAGTCAAGTATTGGAGGTTCTGTTTTTTACGCTCGAGCCAATCCATGGCGACAGTCAAGCGAAAATCCACGCCGTATTTTCCTTCTTTTGCCATACTCGAACCCTAGACCTAAAAAACTAATTTTCATATAATTGCACATTACTAATTGAATATTTACAACATTTACAATTAAGTCCNACTTTTTACATCATTTACAATTAAGTCCCTTTTGTTTACAGAATTGCTAATAACATAATTAAAACCAACAGTAAGAACGGAGAGTGAATAAATAAAGTCACTACCCAAAGATTCTTGTGCTTTTATGTTGGTTTTGTTCAAAGATATTGTTTACTTGTAGAGCTGTTGGATTGTTTTTGTGTTTTGAAATCATTTCTGCCATATTTATTCATAAAATCTCGTCCAGCTCAACTGTTAAGTTGATCTGGTCGAGTACTAAGCTCCCACAACTCGACCACCAAGTCGAATGAAGATTCCTTTAGCACAAAATGCAGAAAAAACTTTTTAATAAGCTTAAATTGAACATTTAAGCTATAAAGAATGCCTTTTTTAATCAAAAAACTTAAAATGTGGCTATTTTGGAAAATTCCTCATTTTTTTCTTCCAAAACTGAGATGTTAATTTTATCCGATTATTATTTGTCTAATTACATGTTGTGTTCATAATCGTATTCTTCCTAAACATGGTGATCTTGTTCATATATGGGGGTCTTCTATTCTTGTTATAAGTGGTTCCAAACTTTATATTAAGTAGAGTTTGTCTCAGAATTGGAGTAGCCTGTCTACAGAATTTTTGCTTGAAATCATCTTCTAGCAGCTCTTTTTAGATGAATCTTTTAGTCAATAAAACTAAGCTCCTCTTTGAGAATCATTAAAACAAAACTATTTTTTTTTTCAAACTCATTTTCAACCGTACATTCTCATAATAAAATATTTTTCACATAAATCCAAAACTTTTTCCTACTTTATAGTCACACATTCTCCAAAAATTCACTATTTCAAAACTCATTTCCCCAAAAAATCTCATTTTAACGGTTGTGAAACGGGGCTAAGATTGAATTTGTCAGTTTGTGGATCATACAATGATATTATCACTACATTTACGAAATTGCTTGTCCAAAGGCAGGTGTTTGTTTTTTCTTAAACAATTTGGATTTTTGAGGAAAATAACATCGTGGAAAGCAATCCTGACATATTACTATTTATGTTTCACAAAATTTATTATTTTGTCCCTAAATTTATGGGCTCATCTTGTTACATTCTATTATGCTGCACCTTTCTGGATGTTGAAGTTGGGTATTGCAATGCGAGAGAGAAAATTCTTTCATCTACTTGGTAATAAGGAAAAATATAGTTCTGATAAACATAATGTGTACAGATGCCATTCCTACGAGAAAAGCAATGCTTTTGCAGATAGGGGTTGCCATGAAAGCTATGCCATGGTACTGTGCCTTTCCAACAATTTCAGAATACATGATTGAACATGGATGGACAAAATGTTTTTCAAGGATAAGCGATGTTGGCTGTGTTGCCTACCTTTTCTATTTGACTGTTTATCTTGTGTTCGTGGAATTCGGGATATACTGGATGCATAGGGAGTTACATGACATAAAACCTCTCTATAAGTATCTCCATGCCACACATCACATCTACAACAAGCAAAATACACTTTCTCCTTTTGCTGGTGAGTTCTACTTCTTTCTCATCATTTTGTTGTGTTTGTGTAGTGCATATTTGGCACTTTTCTTGGTCATAGATAATTTTTCTCATGGTTGAATAGTGTTGACAAAGAAACTGAGTACAAATGTATTGTGGAAAATTTCATTTCTTGTTTGTGCTTCTCCAGCTTTCTGTAAGATGAAAGCCATCACAATTTCCTTTTATAGGCCATAATACCATTCAATATTGATGTTGGGAACCAGTTTGGTAATGCCAAAATGAGAAAACTATGTGGAAATTGGAATTAGTTAATCTAATCTAATCTAATCTAACATAAAAGAGCGGAATGGGGTGGCACTATTCATAAGCCGTGAGCCGAGCCGAGCTAATCTTCTAATCTAACATAATTAAAAGAGTGAGTTGGGGTGGCACTATTTATAAGCTATTTGGCTCGGCTCAACTCGGCTAAGTTTTTTTTACAGCCGAGCCATTTAGGCTAACCTCTTCTTCTATCTCGGCTAACTTCTTTTTTTTTTTTTTTCCTTTTTTTACGTTTGATTAAGTATTTTAAGTTATAAATATTCGTTTTAAGTGATTTAAAATTTGTTGAAAATGTTGAAGTACGTCTATGATAAATATATGATCGATAAATTTAAAATATCAAAATTTGAAGTGCGGCAATAATAAATATATGATCGATAAATTTTAATATCAAAATAATTTTACATTAATTGTGAAATGTAAAGTCGTGATTGTTTATATTTCTTTTTAATCCCAACCTCATTCTAATGTCATTTTTTCGAATTTTATTTTCCTACAATTTTTCGTTTGATTCGATATTTCACGATATGAATATCCATTTGGATCGATTTCAAAATTTTTAAAAAAACTTAAAATGTGATAATAATAAATATATTGTCGATTACATTAAAATATAAAAATGGCTTTATGGCTCGGCTTGGCTAAACCTCTATTTATTTATTTATTTTTACGTTTGATTAGTTTTTTTTTCAATTTCTTTGGGTTTATTAGTTATTTATTTTGAGTTTTTTTCCTGTTCTTTTGTTTAAAAATTGATTAGAGGTTTATTGGCTAACTTTTTTTTTTTTTTTTCCTTTTTTTACGTTTGATTCAGTATTTTAAGTTACAGATATTCGTTTTAAGCGATTTAAAATTTGTTGGAACTGTTGAAGTGCGCCATGATAAATATATGATCGATAAATCTAAAATTTGAAAATTTGAATTGCGGTCATAATAAATATATGATCAATAAATTTTAAATATCAAAATAATTTTACATTAATTGTGAACCGTAAAGTCGTGATTGCTTATGTTTCTTTTCAATCCCAACCTCATTCTAATGCCATTTTTTCGAATTTTATTTTCTTACAATTTTTCGTTTGATTCGATATTTCACAATGTGAATATCAATTTGGATCGATTTCAAATTTTTCAAAAAAATTTAAAATGTGATAATAATAAATATATTGTCGATTAAATTAAAATATAAAAATGACTTTAGGGCTCAAGCCTTTTTTTATTTTTATTTTTTTTACGTTTGATTAGTTTTTTTTATTTCTTTGGGTTTATTAGTTATTTATTTTTAGTTTTTTTTCCCTGTTCTTTTGTTTAAAATTTGATTAGAGGTTTATGAAGTAATTGACAATAACTGTTCTATCGGAGATTTGTGAAAAGACATTTTTCGATAACTGGAGGCTGTGGTGGAATGTGATCCTCAATTTTTTCGATAATTGTGAGTGTGATTTTTTTCATCTCCACATTTAATGTTGTCTCGAAACATTTAGCAACTTATAAGAAAATTTTATGTAACTAATATTTGACATAAATATTTTTTTAACACCTACGCTATTAAGTAGTCAACTACATCATGGCACGTGCCTTGCATGTGCTCCTGACTAGTATCCATAAAAAGAGATACTTTATTGCATCTCTTCTTATATTTGAAGTAACTTTCAGTTGTCTCTTAAAAATTTAGTTTGGCTCACATAAATTTACAGTTATGTGATGTAACCGAAGTGAATGATAATATAACTTTATATAGGTTGTATATAATGATATGTTTATGGGCTACCTTTCCCATTAGGATCACATAAAAAACTTGATATGGTGTGTGCTTGCTTTGATCAAGTTAAAATTTTTAACTTGCATAAATTAATCGTGAGATAATGCTATTATGATTAAAATCCCATTGTCTTGTCTTTTCTTGTTATTTTGGGATGCATAGCATGACAAGAGTCCACTTATCTAAGAGGAGCAAATGTCCAAATGTATACGAGAGACCTAATCTGTAGTTGGACTCCATGTGACATAATTCAGGGACCACTGAAATCTGACGTATTGTATAAGATGGAGTTGAAAGCACTCACTATAGCATCATAGACTGTGTTGTGTCCAAGGGAATTTTATATCGACTGGAATTTGACAGATGTAGCTGAGGTTTTGTCGCTCATTAAGTTATTGTATTCTGATACAATCATATTTGTTTTCATGGCCATTGTCTACAGATTTTTAAACCTGTATATTAGTGATGAAAAACTTGTTGCCAGGTTGAGTTCTTTTGACGCCAGTCAATTTGCATTGATTTTGTGATCTTGAGTTCTGTGAATATGTTTTGCTAGTGAAGTCAGCCACTTCGTATATAGCCTTTACATAATATGCCTGTAGTATTATACTGTGTGATATTGTGTTTATGTACACTCAGATCTTAAATTTTTTGTGAAATAAGCAATATTCAACTTTCTCATGTAGTCTTAAACTTGCACCAAGGACACCTATTTGTCGTAGTCTGTCTTAATTTAAATTTATGTTCTTATGGCCTTTTGAGACTCATCAAATTCATAATATATGATTGGGCGTGTATTTTTTTTCAATAGGTTTGGCCTTCCATCCTCTGGATGGGATATTGCAGGCAGTACCACACGTTATAGCTCTTTTTATAGTGCCAATGCATTTCACAACACACATAGCCCTTCTATTCATTGAGGGCATATGGACTGCAAACATTCATGACTGCATACACGGCAAGTTATGGCCTGTAATGGGTGCTGGTTATCATACCATACACCACACCACATATCGTCACAACTATGGCCACTACACAATATGGATGGACTGGATGTTCGGAACTCTTCGCGACCCCCTCGATGAGGCCAAGAAGATATAATCAATGTCTTTGCAATTTTCTTGTTTTAGCTTGTGCATCTTCAGAATTCTTTTGTGTCCTATGCATCCCTAAATTTTGCTGCTCCGTTGTTTTGTAATGTCGAAATGTTGTTGAGAGAGACAGCAGGGGGAATAAGAGAAGAAAGAGGCCGTTCACTTCTTAAACGATGTCTCGTACCCCTGTTTTTTTCTGTTGGTTGAACGTTGACTGTACATTAATCTTGTCATAATAAGGCTATTGTGATGTTTTTGGGACATGAATGGTGGTAATAGTGGAACTGATAAAATCAAGGAGGAAGAGGAGATAGAATTCTGAAATTATTGAACAAAAGAAACAGAGACCAAACAGAAATTAAAGGAGCTGAAAATAGAAGACAGGAACCGGATATAAACCTGCTGCAAATGAACAGGGAAGAAGTAGAAATTCAATTCATACTTGCTTAAGGAAAATACAATGCAACCTACTCTATTTATAGAAGAAAAACTAACCAATTATCTAACAAACTNTCGGAAGAGATAAACCTGTTGTGAATAACAGCAGGGAAGAAGAAGAACTATATCATTCAACTTGCTTGAGAAAATACAATGCAATCTATCCTATTTATAGAAGAAATAATTAACCAATTATCTAACAAACTAACAATCTAACAAACAAAGGAAGAGACTAGAAGAAACTAGAAGAAAGCTGGAAGAAGAGCTGAAAGTGTTCTGGTGTTGTTGAAGGTGAACTTCTGTGAATCTGCACGTGTGTTGCTGGTGAGCTAGTGATCTGGAGAATCTTATTTGGGCTGGAGAATGTGGTTTGGGCTGGTGCACGTGGGCTGGAGAACTTGCTGTTTGGGCTGGTTTAATATTCCAACAGGAACTGCAATTTTCAAGTCATGGCATAATCATCTTTACAAGTGCTCACCAGTATAATTAACTATGAATAAAAATGTGGCCAGTTATTATCATCTTTCAAAATACTATCGTTTTCAGGATTCAAGACTGGTCAGTTTCCTTTGGACATGTTTGGTTTAGCTTATGTTCTGTCAAGAAAAGCAATAAAGATTGAAAAAATAAAGTTGTTTGCTTCTTTCTCAGAAATAAGCTAAGCCAATCATACTCTTCGTATTTCCATATTTTTGGCAGATATTTGTTGATGAATAAATTGTATGGTTACTTGATTCAATTACGGGATATGATATACAGATGCCATTCATTTGGCAAGAAGAAAATTCTTCGAAGGAATTAAAATCAAAATTGTTCATACTTCTCAGAGAATGAAAATTGATATATGGCCTAGAGTGAGTATGCAAATGTGCATAATTATTTTCACATAGGAGGAATGGTTGACCCGTTTCCGGGTTCACTTTTGTACTGTTCATGGGAGGTTAAGGATTGGTCTCCTTTCCTAAGGTCTCTTTATGTTTGTGGTCGTGATACGTTAAATAACAATTTCATTTTGTACGTGGAAAGTTCTAAAAGGTGTAACACATGACAAGATAGTAAGTTTCAACCTTCACAAAGAGTGTTCAGGTGTACCCTGCCGGCACTTCCTCTATCGAGCCCGTCGCACCGGCTTGTCTAGTACGGTTTACCTTTCGTGTGTGATTTGCGGGCTACTGCACATGGAGTGGGGTTTACTTAGTGCGTACTTACAGTGGTCGGGCATACACTCATTCGGGGTGGTTGGGGCTCCGCTAGCGAGTAGTGACTGCAAGTTCCTACGTTAAAAAAATAAAAAAGAGTGTTAAGGTGTAATAAGACTTATCTCTAATAATAATTGTTTTAATTATTTAAAGTACAAGTTAAATGCATTCATGTCACTAATATTCGATTTGGTACAGTTAGATCGTCCAATTGTAATTTACGTATACTAGTTAAATGCTCGTACAATGTACGGGCTTTGGTATTTTTAAGATAATGTTAGTGTATTAAATATTAATGAGAAACTGAATTATTATTGTGAAAGTTCAGTAAATTTTTATTTAAAATAATGTTTTCCTTTTGATGTCAACAAAAACTTTAAAGAGCATAACGGAGCATGGATTATATATTATGTAGAAAGCTGTTCTTGCCATTTTTCAACCTACTTAAGTCCAATCCATTTGAACATCTTAAAGGCTCTAATTGCCAAGCAAACAGATCCCAAATCTTAAATATATAGACATGTACTTTCCTATTCTTTTTCTCCCTAACATTTTGAAGTCGAGGAGGAAACAACCTCTATTTCTAGTTGTGCTTTGCAAACCTACATTTCAGATAAAACGCTTGGCACATTTCTTAACAATTTGGATTGATTATGAAACTTAGTGCTTGTTTGGTAGGGATTTTTGGGGGAAGAATTGATTTTTGAATAGTGATATGATGAGAAATGTGTGGTTGAAAAAGAAGAAAAAAATTATTGATGTGATGGAAAATATTATTTTATTAAAAAATGTGTTGTTGAAAATGAGAATTGATTTACTGTAAAATTTGAGAATAAAAAACAAACACCCTCTTAGTATGGAAGAACCAACACTCCATCATTGAGAGAGAGAATTCTACAAACAACAAATATTTCCATAACATAAGTAATGGGTTAATTTCACAAATGGTCACTGAAGTTATCTGAAAATTTCAAAACGGTCACTCAAGTTTCAAAATTTCAGAAACGGTCACTCAAGTTTGAAATTTATTTCAAAATGGTCACTGAATTTTCAGATTTTTTGGCCAAATTTGAGGTAATTATTCGGCAACTTCCGACCACCAAAACCACCGATTTCGGATACCGTTGGAAAGCGTACGATGTCCTCTTCAATTACCATCGAAAATCTCCCCAAAAATCCAAGTGATTCGGCCGGAATAAAGCCACGAAGTCGGCAACCGAAAATGTGAAAATCTGCCCAGATTTTCAGATTTTTTGGGCAAGTTTGAGGCAATTTTTCGGTAACTTCCGACCACCAAAACCGTCAATTTCGGATACCTTTGAAAAGCCCACAATGTCCTCTTTAATTACCACTAAAAATATCCCCATAATTCCAAGGGATTCAACCGGAATAAACCCACGAACTCAGCTACCAAAAAAGTCCGAAAATCTGCCCAGTTTGGGTAGCTGACTTCGTGGGTTTATTCCGATTGAATCACTTGGAGTTTTGGGGAGATTTTTGGTGTTAATTGAAGAAGACATTATGGGCTTTTCAACGGTATCCGAAATAGAGTGTTTTGGTGGTCGAAAGTTGCCGAAAAATTATCTCAAACTTGCCCAAAAAATCTGAAAATCTGGGCAGATTTTCACAATTTTTGGTTGTCGACTTCGTAGCTTTATTCCGGCCGAATCACTTGAAGTTTTGAGGAGATTTTTGACAGTAATTGAAGAGGACATCGTGGGCTTTCCAACGGTATCCGAAATCAGCGATTTTGGTGGTCGGAAGTTGCTGAAAAATTGCCTCAAACTTGGCTAAAAAATCTAAAAATTCAGTGACAGTTTTGAAAGAAATTTCAAATTTCAGTGACCGTTTCTGAAACTTTGAAACTTCAGTAACCGTTTTGAAATTTTCAGGTAACTTCAGTGACCATTTGTGAAATTAACCCCATAAGTAATTCCTCATTTTCAAAAGGCAGATTATCCAGCATATCATTTACTTTCTCTCCAACCTTGGTTTCGTGGTAATCAATCATGATTCTCGACAATAAACTCCTATTGGAAGCTTTAGGTTCATTACCACTTGTGGCTATCAACCTAGTAATCAGTCTTCTTGCCATACTAAAATGGTTATATCTTATACTATAAGTTTCACTTAAAGCAACAAAATAAAGCTATTCTGCCTTGTGGATGAGCGAAGTTCTATAAGGTAGTCAAGCAGACAAGCACACGCCTCGATTTCCAATGGAAGTCACAATTTTTTGAATTAGGATGCTGTACATTTCAATTTTTTTGAATGTTCTTGGTAGTGCTATACAGTTCATCATTTATTACAAACAAATAAAAAACTAATCATTTGTTGCAGTCAAGAGATAGTAATTGGAAGAGAAGCATACTTAATACAAATTTATTAGCATTTGTATCCACTTCAACTTGCTTTAGGCTTCCGAAATGCACCTTTATAGTGCTCCTCAACTTCAAGGAAGCTTCAACTATAATGGGAATACTTTCTAAGCATCTGTATCCACTCCAACTTGATTTAGCCATATTGAGACCAATGGTCATGCTCAAAGCTACAGTGGCAGAATTTAAAGGATGGGCCTGTTGGGCAGAGAGAACTCCAGTTCCATTACTTCCTAGATTGCGGGAAAGCATTGACGAGAATGAAAGATCAAAATGAAGAAAGAAATTATTACAGTGCATGCCTTCTAATCACCTGGTGAGTAATTCGTTTGAGACCCGTAGTGTAAGATCCATTTGGGCTGCCAAGATGAAAAACAGATTAAGAACATCAATAAATTACTTATCTAAATTCTGTGTTCTTTTTTTTCAAAACCATGATAAAATTACAATAACCAGATTAAAATTACAAGCTGAGGAAGCTTTGGGTTGTGTTCCAGCAGTAAGCAGAATATCTATTCGCATAACTATAAAATATTCAAAATTAGAAATATCACAAACGGAATCTACCTCCTAATTCATTTCTCATCCAATCTACCTTCAAAGAGCACTAAATTAACTAATTTAATTAAGTAATTTAAGTCCAACTGCACTGTCCAGTGTCCAACCCCGATCACGGATCATCCTTAATCATCCATCCATTATCATTTATCTATACTCAAATTCTCAAATCTCGATCACAACAAAATATTAAGCAACAGGAGAAAAATGCATGTCATGAGTCTCGTGATTGTGTTTGTGTAGTGTGTGTAAACAAAATTCAAAATACAGTAAACACTTACTCAATAATCACGAATTCACGCCTCAAGGCCTCAAAATTTTTCTCTCTCTCTCTCTCTCTCTCTCTCTCTCTCATACCTCAGTGGCTCAGTCTCTCTGTGAGTCTCTGTGTATTTTGATTTCCAATAATGATGCATGTATAATTGATGTTCTCTAGAACAATCAGACAAATCATATAAATATTCATACAATGATAAAATTAGACCTCACAAATCCATAGCCCTTTGTGCATCCAATTATCTTATCCTTACCTGCTGAACAATAGAAGGTGCAGATTTATCATTAGTAACCCATATGACCCAAATGCGTTTATTTCCAATAAAGGAGATGTGAACCTGCAAATGGCCATTTTGACCAAAAAATTTAGAGAAATCAATCGGGCATTGTACTAATAAAGCAATTCCATCAAACAAATTTCTTGGCATTTCTTTATTATGAAGTTTAAGATGCTCATATTTAACAAATCATTCTTGATATTGTTCAATAGACTAACAGAGACTCAAAAAAAAAAAAAAAAAAGCAGGTTTATTGCTTTTTTCTTGCTGCAAGTAGGTTTATTGCTTCTCTCAAGTAGGTTAATTTTGAAGTTTAAGATGCTCAGGTTCAACACATCATTCTTGATATTATTAACCCTCGGCACCAACTCATTAAATAGTTATCTCACAAAAAAAGGTCAACTGAACACAGCTTTTTCATTATTTTTCGAATAATCATTCCATCCTACCACATCAACCCATTAAGTAACTCATCGTCTAAGTCTAATAAGATCTAATATTTTCTCAATTCTTTTTAAAATTGAAAAGGAAACAGAATAATCACATGCATAATGTATACTACAATACATGAATAAAAACAATACTAATAATCCCCTTTATTTGGAAAGACGTTGAAAGATCTACCTTATGGAGAAGTGGCAAACAGAGAGCCTAGTCAAGCACTTAAACCCAGCAATCTCACTCAAAATTGGGAAGGCCAAAGGCCTTGGGGGAACTATACTGAGCTCTAGTTCCTTCAAATTCCTCATTTTGCTTAATTCAAACCCATTAACTCCCAGCGCTGCAACTTTCACTTGCAAAGTTTCCATCTCTACCAAGTTTTTGAACTCCCCAGGGAACAAATTCACATCATTCGCAAAGAACTTTAAAGTTTTCAAGCCTTAGAGCCTACACACCACCCTGGGAATCAAGTACAACCCATTCTTGTACATATACAACCCTTCTACCATGCTTTCCACACCCTCTAGCAGCGGGAAATCCAATACTTTTCTCGAAACATCAATAACCGACTTAGAACTCAAATCTTTTTTACTTGAATTCTCCTCCAAGGATTCTGGTTCCTCACTTTCCTCTGACTTTTCTGCCCTCTTCACGTCGGAAGTTTCCTCTGATAATGATGCTGTAGATGAGCCTAAAAAGGGTGCTGTTGAACCTGAGTAAACACCGTCCCCTGGTCCCTTTGTTTATGTACCGTCGAAAGGCTGAAGAAGATGATGGGTTTTTGGAGTATCAATAGAGGAATGGGGTTGGAGAAGGGAACGGGATTGCTAAGATTTCTGATTTGCTTTGGATTGGTTTTGGAAAGAGATGAGGCGGTGGAAAAAACTGCCTCTTTTGTAGGATTAGGATTTGGAAAAAATGTCTCCCCGTGCGCGAAAGAGGGTGCTGTTGAACCTGAGTAAACACCGTCCCCTGGTCCCTTTGTTTATGTACTGCCGAAAGCCTGAAGAAGATGATGGGTTTTTGGAGTATCAATAGAGGAACGGGGTTGGAGAAGGGAACGGGATTGCTAAGGTTTCTGATTTGCTTTGGATTGGTTTTGGTAAGAGATGAGGCGGTGGAAAAAACTGCCTCTTTTGTAGGATTAGGGTTTGAAAAAAATGTCTCCCCGTGCGCGGGGAGACGGTGTCTTCCCGTCCGCGCACGGGGAGTTCAATACTCTCATTTTTTTTATTATTTCCAATTATATTAATTTTAACTACAATTTTAGAAGCAAAATGTACTTTAGTCGCATTATATATTCCAATTATATTAATTTTTGAGGCACATTTTTATTCTCCATTTCCAGTTACGAAAAAATATATTCTCCCTACAATTACTACTAAGTATACATTATTTAACATATTTAAATTACATAATATTCCCAACTGTTACCATGTTATTGGAAACTTAAAAGGCACAAATCTCGGTTTCAACTTTTTTGTTTGTTATTAGTCCGACGACTTAACTACAATAAAAAAAAAAAAATTAACGTCTCCATTCATCACGGAATAAAGTCTTCGTGGTGCACGAAGACTTGTCTCCCCGTGCGTGCACGGGGAGATGGTCTCTTCCCGTGCGCGCACGGGGACAAATTAAATTTTTTTTTTTGAAAATGTGGAGCCCCCCCTTTTTTTAAAGCTTTTCCCCGTGTGCGCATGGGGAGACTTTTTTTTTTTTTTTTAAATCTTCCAACTTCCAATTAAAAACAAAATTCCAAAAAAAATAATAATAATAAAACTAAACAAAAAGGAAAAAACCTAAGCATGTTGCAAAAAAAAAAAAAAAATTGAAATGAAAAAGCAAAAATATAACATTAATGAATAAAGATCTACCTTCAAGCAAGCAAAATACAAGTCGGTTGCAGCTAATTTTTTTTTAATTAATTAAGGCTGCAAATTTCATTGCCAAAGCATGAAGAATTTAGTCAACAATTGTGGCGTGAGAATGAGATATTTATGAACAGTGACCATTCATATTAGCTACAGGAACAAACCAGTTTCAATGTGAAACCTTCTCCACCAGAATGAATAGTAAATGACGGGTTCTCTCTTTTAAGGATAGGGTAGAAATCTAGTCATTTATCTTCAATGTGGTGTAATCAAGTCACCTAACTATGATTTGTTTGTAGATCTGGTCGATTTGTGTATTAGCGCCAGTTTAATTAACAAATTATGCTAATCTTGACATTAAAAATAATGAACGATTACATGTCATTTTAATTTAAATAAATTTAAAATAAGTATTTTCAAGATGGGTCATGTCTATTGTCGACATGGACATAAATGATAATCTCATTAATATGTTACATTAGTTAAATTGACAAACCAATTCATAGAATAAGTAGATTATTAAGTCAGTCGAAATTGTGTGACTAGATTTGTAACTTGTAAGAAAATTAAAGTTGAATGTTCTAACTATATAAAATTAAGGATGAGTGATCTAGATATATCTCCGCTCAAAGTTAAGTAAAATCAATTTAAGGTACGAATCAAGCTGCTTGTACATGTGCTTTTGTCAAGGATTTTTACAAATGATGAGATGGGGAAATTGAATTAGAAGTTGTTTTTTATTCATTTGTCGATGAAAATCTATCAAACTGTTGATAAAAATGCTCGGACAATGTAGCATCACACTTTAGAGTACACTAATTATTATTCTTTTTATTTAGAAAGATAAACTAATAGTAGAAAGACATGTTTATTTTGTTGCTTAGGCCCGCAATAGTAGCATCTTTTGCACCTAGGCCCTAGTAGATGATCAAAATAGGATTAAGTGGCTTTCTTTTATATCATGTGGACCGTCTTCCTCGTGCTATAATTCTTATTTGGTGAAAATTAAAGTTAGATTTTTAATAAAATTTTATAAAAATTGAGATTGAAAAGTTATGAATCCCAAAATATGAAGCTGTCTGGTGCAGTTTTTTTCAATTAACAGCAAGAATATATCCGTTGGAACCCAGCAACAGTCAGATTTCCAGAAGTGCGGCTGAGCTTTTGTGAGAAACGGTCAAAAGAAAACAGTAGGAAAATCAATTGTGGAAGAAGGAAAATCCAAATCAGACAAGGCGTATATATATGATTAAAATTAATTGTTTGATTTAGATTGAATTTGGATTTCAGGGGAACTAAAAAAGAAAGAGCAAAAAGTTACTTTTTTAAACGCAATAAAAATCAATAGAAAAATCTTTCTCCAGCGAGATTTCAAAGATTGACATTAGCCAAACGGGATAATGGCCACAAACGAATCTTCAGAGTCCCGGGAAAAGCCTTCAAACCCACAGAATAATTGCACAAGGCGGTGAAATACTCGTGTCATATACAATTTTGCACCAAGAAAATACCCATGTCTGCCACTTCCCTTCTGTCTGCTGCGTCAAACGCCATCTTCCCTTACAATTCTACAAAAAATTCAGCACCATTTCTCTCTTTTCATCAATCTAAAGTTAGTTCCGCAATCTTTTCTAGCCCTTTTATCAATGATAATAATGCAAAAGTTGAAAGCAGCAGCATTGTGGATGAAGACCAGGATTATGCTGCGAAACGTTCACGCTTTCCACAATCTGGTTCAGCCATCAAAGCACCCACTGCTCCGTGGATGAAGGGCCCTCTTCTCGTCGAACCCAATCGAATTATTAAACTTACCAAGTCAAGACCCAGAAAAGATTCCACCTTAGATAAAATTGAAGAACACCCTGATAAGGCTTTGGCTGGTAAAGTGAGTGGTGGAAGAGGGAAAAAGGCCATGAAGAAAATCTTTCAAGGCATTGAGAAACTCCAAGAAACCGAAAATTTGGAGGAAACTCAGAAGGTCCCGGAAAATGTTAAATTCAGATTTGCACCAGGTGACTTGTGGGGTAATGCAGACTTGGAGAATGTTGTAGAACTTGAGGAAGATTCAGAGGTGGGCCCAAAAAGTTTTGAAATTACTGAATTAGATATTCCATTTGGGGAGGTTGAAAATGAAGGGAAATTAAAGAAAATGCCATGGGAGAGAGATGAGAAAATGGTGATTAGGAGGGTAAAAAAGGAGAAGCAGGTTACTACTGCCGAGTTGGTTCTTGATGGAATATTGCTAAAGAGGTTGAGGGGTCAGGCTGCAATAATGAGAACATGGGTGAAGGTTAAGAAAGCTGGGGTGACCCAAGCTGTCGTTGATCAAATTCGTCTTATTTGGAAGAACAATGAGCTTGCCTTAATCAAATTTGATCTGCCCTTGTGCCGAAATATGGAGAGAGCGCGAGAGATCACTGAGGTTTATGTTTGTTTACCTTTCCTTTATCTACATATACCAGTCTATGCTTCTGAAATCTTCATTGCTTGACATAAGTTGATTGCTCCATTTGCTGGAGAGCAAAAATATAAAATTAAAACAAATGACCACACACATACCAGTCTATGCTTCTGAAATCTTCATTGCTTGACATAAGTTGATTGCTCCATTTGCTTGAGAGCAAAAGTATAAAATTAAAACAAATGACCACAGATGTATATTATTCTTTTTATCTTAAACTTTATCTACTAAGTCGGCCCATAAGTCTTCAGTCATGCTATTTTAGAAAACTTCAAGATGTATCTTGTGTTCCTAGCTGCATTTATTATGTACAAGGCATGACCTGAATTTATTGAATTGTTCCTCTGATATAAATACTTTTTCTCTTGAAAAGGCCTATGCTTTTCTGTTTATGATTTAAGTCATTTCCTAGAACAGCGCCTAAGTGGGGTATCCCTTACAACCAAAAATTGTTAGTTGCTGCTTTTACAGAAGAGCAGAGCTGGATTTACTCAAAACAGCAACTGTACATATGGCCTTGAAGAGTTGTGAAGTTATAATTCGTTCATGTACAAGTTATGTTGATTCTAGTTCTCAAATCTTATTCCACATGAATTGTAGACACTCTTCTAACCTTGTCAGTGATCAATTTTTAACATTATTGTTACTTTGTTCTTCCCACTGTAACATCCCAATCCATTTGGAAATCAGTCCTTTCCAAAAATGTATCAATTTTTCAGCAATCCTCTTACCTTTAGAACATCTAGCAAGTGTAAAAATAATTTTAATCGTGTCCAAATATGTTTTCCCTTAGTTGCCGTTATCTTTGTTATTTCCTTTCATCTTATTTTAACATCCTTGTTCTTCCCTTAATTTTTTTTTTAGTTGCTTCCCTGATACTGTAGTATTCCTCTAAGCAGATGAAGACTGGAGGCCTTGTTGTGTGGAATAAGGAAGATTTTCTTGCTGTATATAGAGGTTGCAACTATCTGCGAGGCTCAAGAAATTATTCAAATATTAGTCACAAATCAGTTAGTGATCAAGAAAATCTATCCTCAAATATGAGTTACCAAAATACCTGTCATTTCTCTCGAATAACATCAAGTGGAAGTAGTCAATACAAAATAAATGATGGGATAGAAGGTGAATGGGAAAACTTACGTATCAACGTACCACTGTATGAAAGAGAAGCAGATAGATTATTGGATGGATTAGGACCACGCTTTGTTGATTGGTGGATGCCAAAGCCTTTGCCAGTGGATGCAGACTTGCTCCCAGAAGTTACTCCTGGATTCAAGACACCTTTTAGGCTTTGTCCACCTCGCATGAGATCAAAACTGACAGATGCTGAACTTACATATTTGAGGAAACTTACTCACCCTTTGCCAACTCATTTTGTCCTTGGTATTTTCCTTTCCTTTCCTTTGTCACTGCACTATATCAATCTCAACTGAACTATTAGAATTATCTATTCTTATATGCACACACTGAGTTTCAAGAGAGATTGTACCTATGTGCAACTTTTTAATGTGCTCAATATCTTATTCTGGATGTCATATCACACTTTCTAATTCTACCAATCTTTATTCTTATTAAAATCCCACATTGTTTGGAAATTCTCATGCATCTGCATGTTCTTCCTCATCTATATATGCCACTGCTATAATATTGGTAACTTCTTTAGTCCATTTAGAACGTCAAATTGAATTTGGTTCTGATGCTCATCTCCTTCATTTTCAGTTACATTTAAATAAAGAAGCTCATTGTGAACCCCAGGGGTCCCCATAAGATTGGTTCCTTAACAGCTTCTCATCATTGTACTGGTTGAATATTCTCTCTTCTCCCTACCAGAGGGGGAAAAAAAAGAAAATAATTGGAAACCCTAATTGAAGCCAGTTGGGACTAGAGATCTCTTCGCCCTACCAGAGGGGGAAAAAAAAGAAAATAATTGGAAACCCTAATTGAAGCCAGTAGGGACTAGAGCAGGTTCCTATTTCAGTATATACGAACCTATCAATGTTCTAAATGTGCAAGTTGCTCTCAACCGCATTGTACACTATCTTTTAGAAATGGATAAATTATGAAGTGGCACTGAATTTACTGGAAACAATGTGCGCATTGAGTTTAGAATTACTGAAGATATCTAATTCTAGGAGAGATAATCTCGGATGGCCTGTATCTTTTCAAGACTCACCACATGTTTATGTGTAACAGTGTTAAGTAAATTATGCAAAATTGATTTGGTTATACTTTTGATTCAGTCAGTATTTTTGAGGAAAGGGGGGGGGGGGGGGGGGGGNGGGGGGGGGGGGGGGGGGGTTTAGTTTGTTGCAAATTTATATCTTGAATCTCGAAGCGTGAACAACTTATTTGATAGTTTCTTTATATTGCCGTCCAACACTTTTAGTCAATGCACAGTTGGATGCATAATTGGCGACGCTCGGTTTGGGCGTGGTTATGCTTACTGTTCTGACTTAGTCTTGTTTTGGTTTCCTGAAGGAAGAAATAGGAAACTGCAAGGACTGGCGGCAGCCATTCTGAAATTGTGGGAGAAGTGTCATATTGTAAAGATTGCTCTGAAGTGGGGAATTCTCAACACAGACAACGAGGAAATGGCATATGAACTTAAGGCAAGTGTGATAAAATGAATTCATCAGTTTTACTTTTTGATTTTGAACATCTGATATTCTGAACTGTTGCTTGCGTATGAGCCCCATGTAGCACGTTGTTATCTTAGAAGGTTTGTGTCATGGTTGAGCAACCTCGATTGTGTGAAAAACTACTACAATTTATAATATTCTTCACAACTACTAACTAGGCCAAGTATGAAATACTACAGCATTGTTCATGTGATATAATCTGCTTGTTTCTATAATATTGCTTCTGCTATTGTCTAGTACTTTATCACCACTTGAAGGGGATACAATATATATAAAGAACCTTTTTTCTTTTTCTTTATTATTACATGCAATCACACATGCTTTTTAGTTTTGATTGGAGCCAATACTTGAGTTTATATTGTTGGATAACATTACATTAGGCTGTAACACACGTCAGCGGCTTGAGATTGCTTCTCGCTTCTGTTGTCTAAAGTTTATACAGTATCAGCTGAAGAGTTGAAATAAGACAAAGCTCAAACACGTTTTTGAGTAACTTTCTAGACTTGTTTGGTTAGCTTCTTAAAAACTTCTTCAAGTAGGATTCTCTGAAAAAAAGAATCAAACTTCAGCATCTTTACGGTTTTGTTATAATATTGTGCTGAGGTTGAATAGCTAAAACTCAGTTTAAGCTGGCTCATTTGCAACCCTGAGTTCAAAAGTCAATCTAGTTTTTAACCGAAAAGAATGTTTTTGATTGTTTTTTGCAGAAATCCTCACACTTTGAAGTATAATCAGAATACATATGAAAAGATCATATGAATATGTGAAATCTTCGTACGAGAAATTTCTTAATTGAAACACAATCCCTTTGTTTCCAAAATTCAGTTTTCAGGTATCCCATGCTATATTCTGTGATAAGATCTTCAGGTGAAATGAGTCCCCTTTATCTGTGAGGTTGATACATTTACTATTTTTATTATAGTTAATGGATCACAAGATATATCCATTGGTTATTAGACTAATTATGTTATGGTACCATTTCCCTCCAGCAACTTTTAAAGTGGCGTGCATTTGTTTGTTGGTCAAATGTTGAAAAAACATGGCCCTAGTTGGGTGGCCAAAGTATTTAGTTTTTAATGTCTTATGGGATTGAAAACAATGGGCATCAATTTATCAATTCCTGATGCAGAATCTCACTGGGGGAGTTCTTTTATTGCGCAATAAGTTCTTCATAATTCTCTATAGAGGCAAGGATTTTGTTCCCTCTCAAGTTGCAACCCTAGTTGCTGAAAGAGAAAAGGAGCTCACTAGATACCAACTTCAGGAAGAAGCTGCACGGTTAAAAGCAAGTGGTATATCTTCTGTCACCCATGAGGATATATTGAAGTCTAGCAGCATTGGAACTTTATCAGAATTCCATAGCATTCTATCAGAATGCAGGAACCTGAAAAAGGGGAAGACTGAGGTTGAAGTTCAGCTGGAAGCAGAATGGCAGAGATTGGAAAAGGAACTCAAAAATCAAGAGCGAAAGCTTTTCATTGTGAGATCTTATTGCTCCTTTTTGTCCTGTATTTTTGTATTTGAATAATTAAATACTCATTAGCTGTAAATTTTGCAGCTTAAAAAGAAGATAGAGAAATCAGATAAAACACTGGCGGCACTAAATCAGGCTTGGAGACCTTCTGAGCAAGATTTGGATCAGGAAATGATAACACAAGAGGAGAGAGAATGCATGCGGGAGATAGGATTGAAGTTAGATAGCAGTTTGGTGCTTGGTAAGAAAAAGCTTCTGCTTCTTCTATTTTCACCCTTATGGCTTCTTCTTGTTCTTATCATAAAAAAAATGCTTCTTAAACCTTAGGAATGTTAAAGTTATTTATTGTAGCTTTATTATTATGGATGTATTCTTAGTTACTTGTCCTGAAAGCTCAAATTCCTTCTTCTCCTGAAGATTTTTGTCGTGATTGATGCTGACTTTGTGCTTAGAAGCAGGTTTCATATGTAACTTATGATATTCTATATTTTTCTCAGATTTATCTTACCTGTCATGATGTTGTAGCAATATTGGATAAAAGATGTTTGTTGGTCAGATGAGTGAATGGTTGAAATAAAGTGTCAAACAGACAATCATACAGCCTAAAAAGGAATCTACTTCCCATGAGATGTGAGTCAAGAATTCAAGTTTTCATGAGGATTGTGTAATTAAGCCTCACTAGATGGTCTACACTTTGAAATAAAAAGCTCGAAAGATCTGTCTTTGCCTATTACATTCAGCTTCGCTTTTTCTTCACAAAACAGTGACAATTTCTCACCAAGAGCATGATTTCCTCAGCAGTCAAGTTAATACTCTTCTTACTATCACCTGGTCAAAAACTATTATGGATCAAAATTACACTTGCAAACTTCATGGAAAATACATTTGGTTGGCAGTAGGAAAGAAAAACTTCCCAACAAGTGAAAAAGAAATTCAGACTATTAGATGAAGAGGATGGAAGGTATACAATGAGCCTTTTGAGTCAATTTTCTCATTGACAGATGATAACGTTTAAATCCAGAGGCTATTAGAAGGATTTTGAGAAACAGCCAAAAGAGGATTTGTTTCTTTGAGTTAGACTTTAGCACTCTTCTTATTATCACGAGGTCACAAATTAATATTGATCAAAATTACACTTGCCAAATTCTTGAAAATACATTTGGTTGGAAGTCAGAAGGAAAGAAAAACCTTCCAACAATTGAAAAAAAGAATTTCAGAATATTAGATGAAGATGATAGAAGGGTTACACTGAGCCTTTTGAGTCAATTTCTGACTCTGAGGTGATGATATAAACTGAAAAGCAGAGGCTAGTAGAAGGATTTTGAGAAATAGCCATGAGAGGATTTATTCTTTAAGTCACAGCAATTTGGATCCATGAATGGTATTAAAAGCATAGGGGATATCATATTTCCTTTTTTTGCTTTATAATACTAGTCTATTAGAAACAAGATGAGGACTCTCCAACTCCTCCATGTTTTATTAAACAAAAGGATGAAGAAGAAATTCAACACATTATTGAAAATTTGCATAAGAATAGAAATGACAATCATTGTTTCGTACCCTGAAAGTCAAAGTACTAAGAAAAAGAAGCAAAACAACCTAATGGTTTTTCCTTTTTATTCCTTCTGTTCTGATGGCGTGAGAAACTCCCAGGCAAGCTCCTCCGTTGATGAGGAAACCCTTTAATCTGCTGTCTATCCGACAAGGTTAATAGTGAGTTTAGTTGTGAGAAAACTTGCATAAGTCCTTCATGGTTATAGGAATTAAGTCACGAGATGGAAACAATGTTATAGACTAGATCTGTTTGGGGGTTAGAACCAGTATCTCCTTGCTTTTCTCGACTCTTTAAGATATAACTGTAAGCCTTTAAGCAATTCATATATCCATGAGCAAAGCAAACCCTGAAAAAGCTAAGGAAGTTAGACAAATGTCAGCAACTAATATAAGGGATAAGCTCAAACTTCTATATGTCTGTACCTCGCACTTCCTTGAAATTCAGATAGCTTATTAGCCTCTACTGTTTTGAATCGAAATATGTTTGCTATCATGCTATCATGTTCATTTTTTTATTCAATCTGGCTTCAGGAAGGCGTGGTGTTTTTGATGGTGTAATAGAAGGCATTCGTCAACATTGGAAGCACAGAGAAATTGCGAAAGTAATTACAATGCAGAAAAAGTTCTCACAGGTCCTTTACACTGCAAAACTTCTTGAGGCTGAAAGTTACGGGATACTGGTTTCTGTAGAAAAAATTAAAGAGGGCCATGCTATAATTATGTATCGTGGGAAGAACTATAAACGTCCAAAGTTGTCACCTAGAAATTTGTTGAATAAAAGAGATGCATTATCTAGGTCACTTGAAATCCAGAGAAATGGAGTAAGTAAACTAATTCTCTCCTTGCTAATTAAACTGTTTTTGTTTAGACTGACTTGTATGTCTCTAACCCTTTTAACCTTCTGTTTTCACTCTAATAGTCATTGAAGTTTTTTGCCAATCAAAGAGTGAAGGAAATTTGTGATCTGAAACGCATGCTGGTAAACCTCTCTATCTTTTAAATCATTTCAATTTTCAAAGAGAGAGATATTAACAAAATAGTTCTGGGGATTCCCTTCTCATGAATCTGTTCAATAGAGTTTTTAGTTGATAAATTTTTCCGACTTTTGCATTGTATCAGTATTGGTGGATTCAGTGGCTTGTGCCCTTGCTTCTATGATTTCTTGACAGAATAATTTGCAATTTTGCAGGCGGACTTGAACAGAATCAGTGATTGATTGGGTTGGTATTGGACAAGCTGATAGCCATCAGCCAACACATCTTAATGTGAATTCTTTGAATTCCTTATATTCTTTATGGTGAAACTAGCACCTATAAGAGAGAGATTTATCCATCAAACTATATAATGCCCAGATGCGATGGGTACCACTCACATTTCAAATTACTTGAACAAAGTTTTCAGGTGTTGATTTTGAGGTGGGAGTAAGTAATATGCTTATGAGCACGCTTTTGTTTGCACATTGGTTTTAAAACTGTGACTTGTTATGGATTCCCTTTTTGGTCGATCCATAAAAGCTGCCTTACGTTGGATGCTGCATGATGAACCAGCAGGCACTTTGTCGGGTAATTATTCTAACATCACCTTAAGACTAGTTGATGGAATATTAGCAGATACATTATTATATTTAGTTTCCAATTTTGATATTTAATTTAGGAAACATAATTAGAGATTGATTTCATAGTATTTTGCTACCTCAATTAGGACTAGTTTAAACTCTATATAAAGGGGGCTTATGCGATGTAATTGACACAACCTTGACAATTAAATAAAATTTATACTCTCCCTCTTCTTCTCTCTTCTCCTTCCTTTCCCCTTGCCCTTCTCCTATAATTTTTCTATTGCATCCTATGTCAGTTTGGTATCACATCAATTCGTTCTCCTTTGGCCTACACCTTCTATCCAACCCATATACACACTGCCGCCTTCCACCAACCATCCAAGCCTTACAATCACCTTATACACAAAAACCTTAGAACAACACAAGAACAAGAAAAATTTGTCACAACAGCAGCAGTCTTTATTATTTTTTTATTTTTCCTTTTTAGCAGTACATAATAGTTGAAAAAGAAGTTTAAAAAAAAACACCAGAACTGTTCACCGGGCCAGCAGTAGATGAATTAGGTTTCTGTTATTTCCCTTTAAAATAAGGAAAAAATGTACTATTTACATAGATATCATGGGTAGAAAAGTATACGCTTCTCTCATTGATTCTTGTTGGGAATCTGGGCCAATTTCCATACTTAGCGCTCAGGATCCTCCTTTGAGAGAATATCAAGAATAACAGGAAAATAGAAACAGTAAATATCAAGAACATAAGAATTTATATAAAAAAACTCCAAATCTTCAAAATTGGAGAAAACCCTTGGACGGTAAAGACAAACTCCACTGTGTAAAATTGTACAATCATACAACATCTCTTAAAGACTCAAAGCCCTAAATACTTTGAAAACCCTACATTCTAAAACAAGTCTCATATTATATATAGAGTGAGACTACAAAGGATCCCAAGTTTATCCCAAAACAAAAGTCAATTATTATCTCTTGAATTGTGATGAATAAAACATTATGGGATATCCTTTATACATAGTGCTTGTTTGGATAAAATTATATATATATATATATATTTTTAAGGAACGCACCAACACAACCTTAGTGGATTTTCAGGACCACCAGGGAAGGCTGATGATATATATATAGGAAGGGGGACATAAACCTAACCTCCCAAAGGCGAAGAAAAGCAGCAATAGAAGGAAATGAATAAGAGGGGAATTATTACCTGTAATACAAAAAATAAATGAGAATACAACCAATGTTCTCTAACAGTGGGTAGCCCAGCCCGGATACACCGAGGAAGGTTAAGTGATCCAAACTCATGATAGTGATGTTGGTCCTAGCCTCATATGCTAATGAATCGACGACCTGGTTCCCCCCACGATAAGTATGGGAGATAGTATCACGGTCAAAAGAGAGAGAGACTTTTGAGAATGATCTGAATCTCCCATGGTTCTCCATCCCTAGTGATGTAATGAATGGCCATCGATGAGTTAGTCTCCACTTAAATGTCGAATAAGCCGATATGTCGAGCAAGAGAAATCCCATCCAAGATAGCCCGCATCTCAGCCTCCAAAATATGGTAGTCTCCATAAGATGTCGAGAAGGCCCAATACAATGTCCATCCCAGTTGCAAATAATGCTACCACCACTAGCAAAACCATCCTCGAAACATCTATCGGTGTTGATCTTGTGAGATCCCACCGTTGGAGTACTCCAAAAAACTAAAATAGGGGATACAGAGGGAGGAAGAGTCAAAAAAATACCAAAGGATGAAGCAATAGTCGAGTTACTTCGCCATAAATAAGCCAGAATAAGCGACCAATATGATTATGAATAAATGAAATCATGCGATAGACTCTCCATATTATCCGTCTAGGCTCCATACGTATCTCGTTGTGCTGTTGTTCCTCACTTCCATAAGAACCAAAAAATAATCAAGGGAATGACAATGTGAATGTGAATGTGACCCTTATGAACATACTGACCCGAGTTCCTCCATCTCTGGAACCTGGATCTAACTGCCTCACCAGTTCTCATAGGTACCTGAAATATAGCCTTAAAATGATGCCAAACCTGATCAGAAATGGCGTTGCAATGAAAATATGTGAATTGGTCTCGATCTTCGAGCAGCATTGGCATCGAAAGGCCATATGATAGCCAATTCTCCTCTCAATGGCTATGTCGACCTGTATCAAATCTTAATACAGTCTCCAGTAGAAGAAAGATAACCTAAGATTAAGTAAGAAAAATATGGGTTTCATTCAGATTTTCTCCCACACAATAGTTTGTACAAGTATTTTTATTTCACTAATTACTACTATTCAAGATACGTCGTTCTTTTGCTGATATTGTAGACAACCTATATGAGTCCTGGGGCTGTCTACAAGAGTGGGCTAGTTGCTATGCTGACTTGGTAGTATCATCGGTGTATCCTTCCAAAAAATCCGATCAGGAGCATAATCCCATGGAGGTATAACTCCAATATGCTCAACCATAGATAAAGGAAGAACCTGTAACAATCGTGTAATATCCCATCCCGAGCCATCATAAAAATCCTGAGTCGCCAATGGCAGAATCATTTACTGACTTCAAAGAATTAGTCGAACTTGCTTTATCTTTTTGGGTTATTTTTCTTGAGGTGCCTAGACGGTCCTCATCTATTGAAAATTATGGTCAGTCTTCGGCCCAAAATTCTTGTACGATACATTATATTCTTGACTTGCACTTGTTACAAGTCAATCTCATAATCAATATTTTAACGTCGAACTTAACATTTGATTTTTCTACTCCGTGTTCTTGGCTTGATGATACACAAACTCCGACGCTGCCAAAGACGTGCTCTGATATCAATTGTTGGGAATCTAAGTCAATTTTCTGTTTCACCCGCTAAGAACTTCATCCAAGAAAATATCAAGAAACAAGAAAGGGAAATAGAGAATACTAACACGAACAAGAAAACAAGAATTTAGTTGAAAAACTTCGAAATAGGAGAAAAGCTATGGGCCGTAAGAGACAGAGATTCCACTATGAAAAATTGTACAATCACAAAATCTCTCTTAGACACCCTCCCAAACCCCAAAGAAAACCCACTAAAGAAACCCTCATGGTATGTACTAGGAGAGACTACTATATATAGAATCCTAAATCTCACCCTCAAATAGTCATGACTACGTCCTGAATGGCATTGAATATGTGAAATAATATTGTGAAGAATATTTTCTCTCATATTTTATTGGAAACGGTGATACACATATATATACAAAGTCTAGGATTCTATCTTTGGAAAGTGTATAAATTAGGATCCTAGAAGAAGGTAATTAACTAATTACAATCTATAACACTCCCCCTCAAGTTGGAGCATAGATATTAATCATGCCCAACTTGTTACAAAGATAATCAACCCGAACCCCATTTAGAGCTTTCGTGAAGATATCCCCTAATTGTTTTCCAATCTTCACATATCCTGTAGAAATCAATCCTTGCAGAATTTTCTCGCGAACAAAATGGCAATCAATTTCAATATGCTTAGTCCGCTCATGAAACACAGGATTAGATGCAATATGAAGGGCAGCTTGGTTATCACACCACAATTTTGCTGGTACTAAAATGTTAAGACCTATTTCAGTCAAGAGCTGATATATCCACACTATCTCACATACAGACTGTGACATAGCCCTATACTCTGCCTCTGCACTCGATCTGGACACAACGTTCTGCTTCTTACTCCTCCATGAGACCAAATTTCCTCCAACAAAAACACAATAACCTGAAGTGGATCTTCTATCCACTTTGGAACCTGCCCAGTCTGCATCTGAAAAGCATTCAATACGATTGTGCCCATGATTTGCATACAAGATACCTCGCCCGGGTGCTCCTTTCAAGTAGCACAAAATCTGTTCTAGCGCTGCCCAATGATGAACTGTTGGTGATGACATAAACTGACTAACAACACTGACAGAATATGCAATGTCTGGACGAGTCACCGTAAGATAATTCAACTTTCCAACCAACCTTCTATACCTCTCAGGGTCTTCAATTTGTTCTCCATCTCCTGTAAAGTGCATGTTTGGATTCATTGGAGCACTACAAGGCTTCACCCCCAATTTTCCTGTCTCAGTTAATAAGTCAAGGACGTATTTTCTCTGAGATAAAAAGATACCCTTTTTACTCCTTGTGACTTCAACACCCAAGAAATACTTTAACATTCCCAAGTCCTTCGTGTGAAATTGAGTGTGAAGGAAAGACTTAAGAGATGAAATTCCTGTAGTATCACTTCCAGTAATGACAATGTCATCCACATACACAACTAAAAGAATAATACCAGCTACCGTTTGTTTGTAGAACACAGAATGGTCAGACTTGCTTTTCATCATACCAAACTCTTCAACGGCCTGACTAAATTTTCCAAACCAAGCACGAGGACTCTGTTTCAAACCATACAGAGATTTTCGAAGACGACAAACTCGCTCAGACTCCCCCTGAGCAACAAAACCAGGAGGTTGCTCCATATACACCTCCTCCTGAAGATCACCATGAAGAAAAGCATTTTTAATGTCTAGTTGATGCAAAGGCCAATGATGAGTAGCTGCCATAGAAATAAACAACCGAACAGATGTCAACTTAGCAACAGGCGAAAAAGTGTCAGAATAGTCCACGCCATAG